CAGTGCCTGCTGGTCCCCTCTGACTAGTTTGTAAACAGCCACTAGATCCCCCCTCAGCCTTCTCTTGTGGAGACTGAACAGGTTCAGGTCCCGTAGCCTCTCCTCGTAGGGCCTGCCGTGCTGCCCCCTGATCATGTGAGTGGCCCTCCTCTGGACCCTCTCCATGTTGTCCACATCCCTTCTGAAGTGTGGCGTCCAGAACTGGACGCAGTACTCCAGCTGTGGCCTGACCAGTGTCGCATAGAGGGGGAGGATCACCTCCTTGGACCTGCTTGAGGTGCCTCTGTGGATGCATGATAAGGTGCGGTTCACCTTCCCGACCATGTCCCCACACTGTCAGCCCATGTTCATTTTGGCATCAATAATGACTCCAAGATCCTTTTCTGCCTCTGCACTGATGAGAAGGGAGTTCCCCAGCCTGTAGGTATAGTGCTGGTTCTTCCTCCCCAGGTGCAGTACAGTCGAGTCGCATCTTACGTGGGGGTTACGTGCTGAAGTCAGTGTGTAAGGCAAAAATCGCATATAGTTGAAATCGCCCTTCCCGCCGCAGTCCTTGCCCCTCTTGTCCTCTGCCACGTCATCCCACCAGGGCAGACAGCTGAGCATGAACGAGCTGCCACCCCCCCCAGCCATGCTGGTATGTGCAGGCAGTACCACGCGGCGCTGCAGTACGCGCTGTGCCCCGGCCAGCACCTGGCGGCCAGCCCCAGCAGCCGAGTGTGTATAGCTGAATTTGCGTAAGTTAAATATGCGTAAGATGCGACTCGACTGTACCTTTCATTTGTCAGTGTTGAAACCCAACCTTTTCTCATTCGTCCACCCCTGTAATCTGTCCAGGTCTAATTGCAGCCTATTCTTCCCTTCTAGAGTGCCCACTTCTCCCCACATCTTAGTGTCATCTGCAGATTTGAACAGGGTGCTTTTTACCCCCTCGTCCAAGTTGCTGATGAAGATGTTGAACAGCGCAGGCCCGAGAACCGAGCCCTGGGGGACCCCACTGCCCACATCCCTCCAGGTCAAAAATGACCTGTCCACCACGACTCTCTGGGTGCAGCCCTCCAGCCAACTAGTGACCCATCTGACTGTGTAGGTATCGATGCCACAGTCTCCTAGTTTTTTAATGCGAATGGGGTGAGTGTCGAAGGCCTTCCAAAAGTCCAGAAAGACTATGTCCACTGCTACACCTGTGTCCAAGGATTTTGTGATCTGGCCGCCAGGTTGGTCTGACAGGACCTGCCTCTAATGAACCTGTGTTGATTGCCCCTAAGCATAATCTCCCCATCACAGGAGCAGAGGTGAGTGGGGACAGCTGAGCCCAGGTGCCGGGGGACAGGTGGAGCATCGCGCAGCCCAGTGGCTGCAGGTTGCTGGTGCCGGCTGCTCTTGGGGCCGCTGCAACTGGGGCTGGGGTGAGTGGGACCATGGCCCTTTCCCCTCCCCCCATAGACTTACCTGCTTGGGTGGGGCAGGACATCTATGCTGATCCCATAACAGCAAATTCACCTTGCATATAACAACTTATGGGTCTAAATATGCTTATCGCATAAGAGTGAAGTTGCATATAAAGAACCCACATAAATCAAGGGAAACCTGTTCTTGGAACAAAATTCACATTTCAGGGAGTCTTTGCAGATATGGGGATACACCCCTGAAATCTGGGGCTGTTCTGGAAAAATCAGGGTAGTCGGGGTTCAAATTACACTTTGACTCTTGGGGGGATCTGCAAAAAAAATTGGGCTGTCCATCACAATACCCTAATAAAAATCAGAGACCCCTCAGGTTATGACTTTCCAATCTTACAGGAGGGCTCTCATCTCTTAGCTCCCCCTTAATTCAAACTCTGAGGATAGTTGGTCCCTTTAAGTTGAAGGCAGTAGGGCACCGGCCTTCAATACGTTGTTATGTCATCAGCAGACACACAGTTACCCAGTCCTTATTTAAATCCAGTCACAGTACTTGGTTCAGTGATCTCCCCTGGTGGCGAATTCCACGAACTGATGAAAGCCAGCTGGAGACTGCTTCCTAATATGCAAACTGCCTTACCAGGCAGCCCTGAATGCTGTTCCTCTCCCCATCTGTGGCAGTGATCAGCAGGGATCCTGGTTTTCTCTGATAAAAAACCCCCCAATTTGGGGATTAAAAAAAGTAACCCCAAATCTACATTTCTCTATCATTAAAATGAAATGCCACTAATATTGATCGATAGATATATCTATATCTATCAATTGATCGATCGATCTATTGATCTATATTAGTGGCATTTCATTTTATTCACAGAAAAATGTGGATTTTGGGTTACTTTTTTTAATCTGAAAATTGAGAATTTTTTTTTATCAGAGAAAACCAGGATCTCTGGTGATAAAAAAAAAAGTACTCTGTTAGAACAGAAACAGTGAAAGATGCGGGAGACTGAATAATGAGTACCCCATGCCTCCTGTCAGATGTTACCTCTAAGGTGATGATCAAGCATACAACAATCATAGCAAGATCTCTAGCTACCGATATATGTGCCTGGCTCTGAAGTCCCGAGCAGGCAGAAGGTGCTATAGAGAAGAAATGGATATTTAGCTGCCTTTGGAAGTGGCTCTGTGAGTGGTGTCTTACAGCCCTTAACTATTATTAGCCCAGGCGTGCAGGAGTGTTCACGGCGGGGCCCTGGCATGAAAGAAGCATGGCATACAGAAATCTGGAGCCCTGGTAGCTTCTGTGGAAGCAGGCTGGCACCTTTGCATCTCTCAGGGGGCCACCCTGCCCTGCCCTCTGCCGCAGGGGATGAGGAAGACCGGCAGAGTTGCAGCAGGCTCCTGCTGGCTCCTGCCATGCCTGCAGCGGGTGGCACTATTGCGTCTGCCTGTTCTCCCCTCATCTTGGCATATGCACGGGGCAGGGCAAGGAGCTTTTTTGTTTTGGCAGCCGACACTGGCAGTGGATCCCTGCCTGCTGTGGGGGGGGGGATCCCTGCCTGCTGGGGGTGTGTGTGTGTGTGTGTGTGTGCTTGTCGGGGGGGAGAGGGTTATAGAAAGGATGGCAGCAGGCTTGCCCACTGCTGCCATGCGGGGGGTTGGCACCCGGCTTCTCTGCTGCCCAGGCAGGCGGGGGAAGGGGGCTTGCAGCAGCCTCTGGCTGCTCCTCGCCATGCCTGGTGGTGCCTGGCGGGGAGGCAGGGCGCTGTGAGCGCTGGGCTCCCTGCTCGGGGAGGGGGACGGAGGCTGGTGGTGCACTAGGCAGGTGCACGCTCGGGCTTCCCATTGGCAGCGCCGCAGCTGCTGGAGGAGCCGGAGCCTGGAGCCGGCTGGGGCCTCCTCTGCGCCCCGGCCCCCTCCCCCGGCAGGTAGCGGGAGGTGCGCTTGCTTGCTTGTGTCAACTGTGTCTGTGCGTGTGTGTCTGTGTATGCGTGTGTACACTGTGCGTGCGTGCGTGTGTGTATGCATGTCGGGCTCAGCTTGTGTGTATCCCGTGCTTCCGTGTGTGTGTGTCTGTGTATATGTGCGTGTCTTAGCGTGTGTGTCTCGTGCTCCTGTGTGCGTCTATGTGTGTGTGTGGTTATTGTGGGAGTGGTGGAGATGTGTTGGCAGTCTTTGTATTT